AGCAGTGAGGAGCAGCGAGGAGCAGTGGGGAGCAGTGGGGAGCAGCGGGGAGCAGTGAGGAGCAGCAGTGAGGAGCAGTGAGGAGCAGTGGGGAGCAGTGAGGAGCAGCAGTGAGGAGCAGTGAGGAGCAGTGAGGAGCAGTGAGGAGCAGCAGGGAACAGTGGGGAACAGCAGTGAGGAGCAGTGAGGAGCAGCGAGGAGCAGTGGGGAGCAGTGGGGAGCAGCCGTGAGGAGCAGCGGGGAACAGCAGTGGGGAACAGCAGTGGGGAGCAGTGAGGAGCAGCCGTGAGGAGCAGCGGGGAGCAGTGGGGAGCAGTGAGGAGCAGCAGTGGGGAGCAGTGAGGAGCAGTGAGGAGCAGCAGTGGGGAGCAGTGAGGAGCAGTGAGGAGCAGCAGTGGGGAGCAGTGAGGAGCAGCGGGGAACAGTGAGGAGCAGCGAGGAGCAGCGAGGAGCAGTGAGGAGCAGTGAGGAGCAGTGAGGAGCAGCAGTGGGGAGCAGTGAGGAGCAGTGAGGAGCAGTGAGGAGCAGTGAGGAGCAGTGAGGAGCAGCAGTGGGGAGCAGTGAGGAGCAGTGAGGAGCAGCAGGGAACAGTGGGGAACAGCAGTGGGGAGCAGTAGGGAGCAGAGAGGAGCAGCCGTGAGGAGCAGCGGGGAGCAGTGGGGAGCAGTGGGGAGCAGCCGTGAGGAGCAGCGGGGAGCAGCAGTGGGGAACAGCAGTGGGGAGCAGCGGGGAGCGCCCACTGTGGCTGCGGGGCTCACAACTGCCTCTACCTCCCGCTCGGCCCGTCCTGGCAGCCACCTCAGGCGCGCGTGCGCACACGGCCCCCTCCTCAGGCCGCTGTGCCGTGCACACGCATCTCCGGGTGTCAGAGCCATCCCCCGGGTCCCGCCCTGCGACAGTCCGCCTTGTTCCTGCCGGCAGCCGGCCGCCGGGGCAAAGAGAGTCAGGGCACACTGGCGGTGCTCACGGCCCGGACCCCAGCCCTGTGCCCTGGGTGGGCGTTTGTGCTTAGTCCCACTTTGGTGCAATAGTCTTTTTCCTTTTGTCAGTTGGTGCGCACCAGGGTTCGCACACACGCCACGGTGTGCGTGTGAAGGTCGAGGGCAGCCTGCGAGTCAGTCCTCTCCTTTCTGCTGCTGTGATCTGGGGATTGGTCTTCAGCCGCCGGGCCTGCCGCGCGCTCCCTGGCGCTCCCTGGCGCTCCCTGGCGCTGCACG